CTATGAATTAAAATCAAATCATGTTAAAAGCAATCTCATTAAATTGCTTGCAAAGTGGTGCCCGTACTCCAGCACTCCTGGCGGGACGTGACCACTCCCGTCATTCATTTGCGGAACCTTCCTTTCTTGGCTCCACCAGCCCTCCCCTCATTCCGCTGCCTCTGCCTCGGCCGGGTCATCACAACTAGATCCTCTGTAGTTCTCAGCCTTGCCAACAGCGGCACAAAGAAAGATTGACAGGCTAGCATTTAAGAAGGCAAAGACTATACTCAAGACTGCAGTAGGGGAGAGAGATTGAACTAATTGCTGGAACAAAAGGTGGGAGGGTTTTTAAGCTCCAGGATGAATGGGCAGAAACGTACTGGAGGGTTTTGGTGAAACGCTGCCACTACGATCAATGGGGCCATCTGTTTGCTAATTGGCAGGTGTTGAAGTTAGGTTCCTCTCGTGGAGACTGGGAGATAGGGACGCTACCCTCCAATGTCAAAGAGACACCCCCTCCCCAGTTTTATGATCACTGGTGGTAAGACTAGCAACAGGCTCCAAGATTTACTTCTCAAAGGGGCAGAGAAGGAATTTATAATTGCAAGTTCTCTAAAGTAAATGCTCCAAGAAAAGGGAGATCAGGGGCCAGGAGTCCAGAGGAAGGCCGGGGAACATTGGGCCACCTTGGCCAAGCCTGTCCTTAGGAGGTAATAAAGTTCTTTATTACCTGCCTCGAGCCTACGGTGAGTGCTGGCGTGTGGTGATCCTCCCGGTGTCTGTTGCCCACGTCGTGAGGCCCTGAACCCAAATTGGGGCTTGGTGGTGCAGGCTGCATCCTGGGTTCCCTGAGGCATAAGTCATGATCACCCCGTGGAGGCCCAGTCCTATAACAAGCTCCTGCTCCCATGATTCCTGCCCTCTTTCCACCCTCATCCCTCTCCCTTTCCTGCCCGGAGTGGTCCTCTGGCTGGAGGATCCAGCCTCTGCTTTGGAATCTAGCTCCTATTTCACTGACCGCCCCAAGCAAAGGCACACCTCCCGACCACGCGGAAGACCCGCCGCCTGGAGCCGTGCGTCTCCCAGGCTCCCACCCAGCTCCTGCCATGAAGACAGAAGCCCCTGCCACCCCCAGCCACACTTGCCACGCATTTGGAGGGTGGACTGCCTGTGACCCTCGAAATCGCCCCCTGAGAACACGGCCCTGGGCTCCCCCGAGGGAGCTGCAAAGGGGAGATACCGTTCCAGCCCCACAGTCCAGGTGCTTTGCTCAGATTGAGGCTTTTTTCTTGTTGAAATGAAAGATCAGGAAGGAGGGCAGAGTCCTAACCCATCAGAATGCCTTGGTTCTGATGTTTGGTCATGGAGTAGTCTCGGGGGCTGGAGGACGTTCATGGAAAGTGGGAGAGAGAAAGGGAGGTACTTTTGCTAAATATCTGGAGCATACCTAGAAGTCCCAATATTCCCTGGTCCTACTGGAGCCCCGTGGGCCGCTGGGGAACCGTGACATTGTGAATTGCATCCAGACGTGGGAGGTGCTTCTTCTCCATCCTGTGAGTGTAAACGGGGCGAGGCTCTCTTTTAGGAATCCTGTCTTTACCTAATCCCCCGAGAAACAAGCTCATTTTACTGACTTCAGAAAAAGCCACCGCCAGCCTGGCCTGGGAGGGACACGTGGGAAACTGAAGACAGTAGTATAATTTCACCAAAGGCTGGTTCTTGTGGCCATATTTCACATGCTCGTAACGCCCTCTCATCCATTCTTCCAAACGTCTTGACTTCGTAATATATGCAGAGAGAAAAATTGTAATGGATTCTTCTGAGATATTCAATTAGTTCTATAAAAAGAGGAAAATAATTTTTCAATAAAGAAATGTAACCAAATGACTAAAACTGCCAGAGAAAAACCAACTGCAAAGCAATTATGCATTTCTTTTGAGTTCTTACTCTAAAAGGTTGATGACGTGCCACCGTTAGAAGTAGCCATCCTGTGGACGATCCGCTGCATTTGTGTTCCTGTTTACACTGACATTTATTCGAATGTTTACTCTGAAACTGTCTCTGGGCTTCAGCATATTTGAATTACCCCCAGCCCCGCTAAAGAGGATCTGTTCTTTCTCCCTGCTCCATAACTCACTGCTCAGCTTCCTTCAAGCTGGTTTCTTCCCCACTGATGGAAACCTGTCCCCAAAATGTCCCCAGTAATATTCTGTGTGTCGAATCCCATCACTCCTCTTTACTCCTGATCGCGGTAGAGGTCTTTGTCTCTGCTTCTAATTCGACTCCCCTGTGTCTCCTGCAAAACTAGCATCTGCTCTTTAAACTTCGGGGTCTCCTAGGATTGCCCCCCACTGCCCGGCATGCTGGACTTTCCCCTTGGGCACCCTCATTTCTTGGAGAGGTTTCAAAGGATGTGGACGGTTCCCCAACCTCCAGCTGAGCCCCGGCACCTGTCCCGAGCTGCGCACCCTGCACAGGGGCGTTGCGTTTGCAGGGCTGTTAGCGCCATCAGAGCTGAGCTCATCTTTCCACGCCCCGCTGCCCTTTGCTTTCGTTCTGGCAGCCCCACCAGAGTGCCCGATCTCCAAGACGTTTGTTTCCTGTTCAAGCTGCCCATGTCATGGCTCACTTAATCTACAGCCGGCCTCCCTGCCTGCAATGTCTAACATTTCCTCTCGACACAACTGTGTGCTATCTGAAATTAAGTCAGGAGAGAACGTTCCACTGCCTTCCTAAGAAGCCTCTGATGGCTCCCTGCAGTCTGTAGAATCAGTATAGGGCCCACTCAAGGCCCCAAGCCCCTTGTGCCATCCTTCAGCACCACCTGCTGCAGAGGGACAGTGCCACCTTGGCACCTGATGACCTTGCGTGGGGAGCCACGGAGGGAGGGCTTGGCCCGCGAGATCCGAGTCCTGGCAGAACGCCTGTGATCCTGCCAGCCAGCTCCTCATCGCCTTCCGGGCTCTATGAGGACGGGGCTTTCTGCCCGCCCTCTTAGGGCACAGCTGCCGGCTGTGACACTGCTGAGAAGCACATGCAGCAGGTGACCTCCTTCCTTCCTGTTGCAGTGGCCCGGCCCCTTGTCTCTTCCCATCACCTACACAAAGGCCTTTCTCATCTCTGTAAGTAACGAACCGACTGAATCTAAAGAGGGCTCATCGCTTCTTTCTTTTTCTTTCTTTTTTTTTTTTGAGACAGCAGCATCATCTAGAATGTGCGGATTCATCTACCTGTGAGAAGTAGGCGGGAGAGAGGTCAATGCACTTTGAGGTGCAGTGACCCTGCCCACGAGGTGGCATGGCCCGATCGATTGTCCTGGACTCTGGCCACCCAAACTCATTGCGGCTCTACTAGGCCTTGCCTTGTCTTCACACCTGGAGGACAAGTTCGGTCAAATACTCACTCTCCTTCTAACCCCCATGTGATTCCACGTGAAACGTAATGTTGGCCAAGCATGGTGGCTCACGCTTGTAATCCTAGCCCTCTGGGAGCCTGGAGCAGGAAGATTCCTTGAGCTCAGGAGTTCGATGCCAGCCTGGGCAAGAGTGAGACCTCAAAACATCTCTACTAAAAATAGAAAAATTAGGCTGGTCCGATGATAGTGGGTTATCAGAACTTCTTCACATTAGTGTCACTAAAGTTGGTATTCAACCCCCCACTGCTAAATTTGACTGGCTTTAAAAAAAAAAAAAAATAGAAAAATTAGCTGGGCATCGTGGTACATGCCTGTAATCCCAGGTACCTGGGAGGCTGAGGCAGGAGGATCGCTTGAGCCCAAGAGTTTGAGGTTGCTGTGAGCTAGGCTAACGCCACGCATTCTAGCATGGGCGACAGAGCGAAACTCTGTCTCAAAAAAAAAAAACCATAATGTGCATTTCAAAAAATAAATATAGTACAAGATAAAATAAAATTAAACTTGGAAATCTGGTTAAGTGCATATAAGGACGAGAAAAATAAAATGGATCCATATATTAGGTTAGTATGGTACAGTAGTGCTGTATAAAATTATAGAACTCTAATTTTAGAGGTACATCAAATCCTTTTTGGAATAAGGCAAATCTGTACACTTAAAATTTGTGACCTACAAATTTGGCTCTGACTTTTCACACAGAAAATTGGAAACCACTAATGAATGGTTTGTCCCAAGAGCAAACCTCTAACGCACTAAGGATTAAAAATAAATTTAGAGAAAACTTAAAGTCAAGCTGAGTCTTACTAACATTAAACACCGTTTCTTTAAGTGAAAGCCATTATTAGATTGGTGATTATAAGGACTTCTTAAAATAATGTTCCCTAAAATGAAAAACATTTCAATAAGTAACTGAAATAATGAAAAAAAAAAAAATAAGGTTTTAAAAGTAGAGCCCAAAGCATACATGATAATTGCTTTTCCCGTCCCAGTGTTCAGCCAGTGGCCTCATTTCTGATGACTAAACCACTTTCCTGACTCTGTCCTGTCCCACTCTGTCCCACACCAGCCCCTGGTGGCACCAGCAGCCATCTGAGACCCTTTTTCACCCCAGAAGAAAATCCCCTTGGATTAGACCTTTTGCTCTTTAGTCAATTACCTAGTTAGGGTAGGGCTACACCGATTAAACCACGGTCTTCTCTCGTGGAAACTCCATCCTCCGTTGACCACCAAGCTATGTGACCACCTGGCTGTTTAGATAAAAGGTTTGATTCGATAAGCAAGGAAAAGTCACATGTTGTTAATCTCCATTCCCTGAGTGACCTTCAGTGTTCGTAGGATCTCTATGTCAGAAGCTTAGCATTCTAAAGGTGAAGCATTAAGCCTGAAGAACTTCAATCAAAAGCCTTATATATGACAAAAAGGGTTTGTAAGCCACCAAACTTCATACAAAAATGTAATCTATTATTGTTAGTGCCCCCACCCCCGGTTTGCAACTGTGAATAATAAATGCGAAACGTGCTAAGTACACATTGCAAAAGGTAAGCACTGTGGTCGGTTGCACTCACGTATCCACATTGCACCCTGACATCTCCCCTTCTTCCCACAGGCGACCCTCCCGCCACGGGCACTGGAACCTTGCTGATCACCCTGGAGGACGTGAACGACAACGCTCCCTTCATTTACCCCACGGTGGCCGAAGTCTGTGATGACGCCAAAAACCTCAGCTTCGTCATTCTGGGCGCGTCAGATAAGGATCTTCACCCAAACACAGACCCTTTCAAGTTTGAGATCCATAAACAGACCGTTCCTGATAAAGTCTGGAAGATCTCCAAGATCAACAGTAAGTCTGGGGAAAACATTCTGCCCTCATTCTTCCGGCTTTGGCCTTAGTTTCTCCTTCCTGAAATGCTTTTCCTCTACTACTTCCTCTCCTGTGTTTTCACCTGGTTTGTTTATGCATTATAAGTACTGACAGTTTTCCCACCAGCAAACAAATAGAATTCGTAGAGATACTGACTCTCAGTTTCTTTATAAAAGCCAACATGGAGGTTTTCTCTTCTGCTTCCTCCCTGAGCTTTTCTAGACTGTGCACCTGTGCGGTTTACCTGCATCATCCACTTACGCTCTGTACTACAGACTCTACCCTGTACCCCGTAGCCCCAGCATTCTCCTGACTGACCTGTCGTCTCTGCGTTCCCATCGTCCCAGAGTCCCCGGACTGTGATTCTTTCTTCTTGCTCTTCCTCTTCTTTGTTTTTCCTTTTTATTAAACTGCACAGATTGTTTCTTTGCAACTGGCTTGCACAAAATATTGGCCAACCTACCCAGTCGTAGGCCTTCAAAAGCGAGGGGTCTCTGCTTCTCCCCACACGCCTCTTGGCTCTGCTGTCTCTCCTGTCTCAGAGACAGAGAACCACACCTGCAGTAACTTTCCCCAGCGCGGTGGAGAGAGTACTATGGTGCCTGCCTTCCAAAAAGACTAAAGAAAAGAGAATCCTTGGGATAACAGCCCTTAAAAGCCTCCAGTCTCTGATCTTCCATTTCGTGTTGCAGACTTCCTCAAACTTGACTTAGTCTAATGACGACCTTGGCTCTTCTTTCAAATCCTTGGCTTTCATCCTTGACTTTGATATCTCCTTCCGTATGTCTCCTCTCTCCTTCATGAAACTTGCGAGCAGTGTCTCTTTCTGCCAGTCTTTCCACGTGAGCAGGTGGAATTCAAAATGTGACCCAAGATTTATCATCCGCCTTATTAAGAAGGAAACACCAAAGTGTTGGATTATGAAATATCCCAGTATCCACACTGTCTCACCCACTTTCCTCCCCAAATGTGAATGAGCTACTAGGTTCACCTTGTCTTCCAATAAAGTAAAAATAAATGAATAAAAGAACTCACACATTAGGTACACACCCTCTCTTCAATATACTGCTTTTAACCCAGTCAGGGTCTGACTTCTTACAGCCGTGCTAGAAGTTTTGGAGGAAGACAGTGAATTACCCATTTCATTAAGTTTTGAAATGTATTATACAACTGTGCATAAAATTTTTTATTTAAAAAAATCTCATACTTATTGTTACACCCTTATCTCACGTCTTATTTTATTATTGCCTTTCTCTGGTTATTGATTCTGTTTGCCTGTTTGTCTGTTTTATTGCTTTTTTTAAGAATGGATTCTGTTACACTGATTATTTTTAATTAAAGCAGCCCTTCTTTTGTTCGAGGGGCTAGTGTTTTATTTGCTAGTTTTTATGCCTGTGGCTGATCTGAATAATTATCACCGGTTCTTTCCGACTGGAACTTTCTCATTCGAGTTTCTCCTCTGCTTGAGGAAGATGGGGAAATACTCCTTGAGTTCATCTGCCCTGTTACTGGGGTGGCCCGTCCCATTGGTCCTTTCTGCTGCTGTCACCTTCCGGTTTTGGCCATGCTTCATCCGTTTCTATTTCCATGTCACCACGCTCTTGCTCTCCTCCTGATTTCATTTAACAGAGAAATGCCTTCTAAACTCCTTTTGTTGTCTCACTTTTTTTTTTTCTAAATACTTAGCCTTGTTTATGCCCAGAAAGGGGCAGCTAAAAAAAAAAAAAAGAAGGACCTCTGTCATCTGAGTGACTGAGAAGAGAACAGCCTGAGGCTAAAGAGAACAGTGGGGGTGGCCACTGGGGAGCCTCACCGTCACTGGTGGCCTGGGCGATGGCAGATGGTCCCACCTAACACGGGATCAGGGAAGTGCAGGAGAAGCTTAAAGATCTGGTCTCCATGCTGTGGTTCCCACCCAAAGATAGGGCTAGGGACTGAGATAAACATGCAAGCCACAGAACCCATCTCCATGACAACGAGTGGGGGTCCTGACACTTTTAGAGCAGGTAGATTTTCACCTTAGCTTTCTAGGTGTTGAATGCAGACCTTGTCAATATGCAGAGAAGAGGGCCGGGCACAGTGGCTCACGCCTGTAATCCTAGCACTCTGGGAGGCCGAGACAGGCGGATCACTCAAGGTCAGGAGTTCGAAACCAGCCTGAGCAAGAGCGAGACCCCGTCTGTACTAAAAAATAGAAAGAAATTAATTGGCCAACTAAAATATATAGAAAAAATTAGCCGGGCATGGTGGTGCATGCCTGTAGTCCCAGCTACTCAGGAGGCTGAGGATCACTTGAGCCCAGGAGTTTGAGGTTGCTGTGAGGTAGGCTGACACCAGGCACTCTAGTCCGGGCAACAGAGTAAGACTCTGTCTCAAAAAAAAAAAAGATGCAGATAGGAGTTCTTGGTAATCATCTTCACAAAAGTAGATACCCTGGAAACTGATATGCTGGGGCCACCAGCCACAAGTGGCTCCCGAGTACTAAGAATGTGGCAGGTGTCACTGAGGAACTGAATTTATATTTTTACTTGATGTTAACGAATTTAAATGTGAACATTCCTATAATTCTAAATTAAAATGTAATGCCTGCTTTTCCTTGTCTTTGCAGACACACACGCCCTGGTGAGCCTTCTGCAAAATCTAAACAAAGCAAACTACAACCTGCCCATCATGGTAACAGATTCAGGGAAACCACCGATGACGAACGTCACAGATCTCAGGGTACAAGTGTGCTCTTGCAGGAATTCCAAAGTGGACTGCAACGCCGCGGGGGCCCTGCACGCCAGCGTGCCCGCACTCCTGCTCCTCTGCCTCTTCAGTTTGGCTTGTAAGTTGGCCTGACTCCAGCACGTGCACAAGTAGGAAAATGTAACTGCACCGGGTTCATGAAGTGGTTTTTTTTCCCCCCATGCATCTTTTTAACCCAGAGGAATCATGCATCTTTAGTTTGTGCCTGTGTGATAGAAAATGTCACAGGTAAAAATGCTCCAACTAATGTTTGAAGGCATCTTAGCAATCTCCTGGCAGCCAGTCTGAGGGATTGTGCAGAGGCTCTCGTTGCCATCCTGCAAACCAGGTGATAAGCAAAACTTCCTGCAGATGCCACTCAACCTGAGCTAATAAAAAATGTGCCCGGATTAGTTAACTGGTGTACCGGGGGCCTGTTTCTCTCTACATTGTGCAGAATGATCTTTTGCAAGGTTAAAGTAGATACCAGGCCTTTCTAAGAAAAGTCATGAGAATTCATGGACGGAGGCTGGGCTGTAGGGAAAATGATAAATGTATAATTCACCCTCTATTTTTCCTCCCACTGACTGGTAGTAATGACTATAATATAGTGAAACATTATTTTAAACAAATGAATTATTATGCCAAGTAATATAGATGTGAACATAAAATGAATAAATACATGTCAAAGATTTCTTATTTATGAAAAACTAATTCAATTTTAACTCTAGCAATTATTCACATAGAGCGATTGCCATCCCAAAGCCTTTTGGGGGCCTGGGTATTTACATTGTGAGAAGGTGTCGGTGTAAGTGTGAGTTAGGAAGTTGGGAGATTGACAGAAACAGAGAACAGAAGGTTTTACGTCCCGTTGACGGCGGCAGGTGAGTCAACAGGAAATCACATATTCCAGCACTGGACACTCGCCATGTGCACAGATCTGTGCGGACCAGAGTCCTGTGCGTGGAATTAAGAAGGAGAAGCCTTGGCAGCCTCTTGATGGCACTTCAGGCTCTTTATTTCCAAAACAACGTGTCATCTTTCCCACCGACCCTCGACCAACCCTCTGCCTGCCCTGCCTTTGAAGAATGTGCCATCCCTATCTCATCATCCCGTGTCTTCCTGCAAGTCTGCCCGCTGCAAAGCCCACCCGGGTGTAAGGGCCCCACCTTCTACCCACGCTGCCCCGCCCTCCCATGCCCGGTTCTGATCGCCACGTACCTGCGTGTGTCGCTGGCTTTCTAACTACGTCTCTGCGTGAGGACTTAAGGGACAGGCCCTAGGCATCCAAAGACCTGCCCTTGGGTGTCTCTCCTTAGTCTTCTCTGTAAAGGAGGAGACAGTTTCATCTGCAGAGGAGGAAGGGATAGAGATGGGGCTTGGGATGGATTGTCAGAGGGCAAAGGACTGGGCTTGACGAGAGAGGGACACATGGGTGACCAGGAAGCAGGGCTGGTGCAGAGGAGCTCGGACACCATCTTCATCTGTTCAGGCTGCTATAACAAAATACCATAGAAGGGTGGCCGGTAAACAACAGAAATTTGTTTCTCACGGTTCTGGAGGCTGGCAAGTCCAAGATCAAGGTACTAGCGCATTTGGTGTCCAGTGAGAGCTCACTTTCTGGTTCACACATGTGCCCTCTCCCTGTGTCCCCACGTGGTGGAAGGGGCAAGGCAGCTCTCAGGGCCTCTTTTATAAGGACGCTAATCCCATTCACGAGGGCTCTGTCCAAAGGCCCAACCTCTTATGATTACCACGGTAATAATATCATCACCTTGGTGATTAGGTTTCAACATACAAACTTTGGGGGACACAAATATTCAGACAGTAGCAAATGCCATGAATGTATAGCAATATATCATGCTTATTAATCCTTTGCTGACAGATATCCTAGACCTAGATTCCTAGAGCCGAGAAAAATGTCCTTTATGAGCGTGGTCCCTCTGGTGCCTGGTTTGCTAAGTCGTCACCGTCAACTGGCAGGAGGTCATCCTCATATGCTATCAACCAGGGAGCGGGTGGTGGTTCTCAGCCATGGCCTCGCAGTGGAATCACCCGGGCAACTTGTCAACGTGCATCTGCCCATACCTGGGCCCGACCCTGCAGCGGGAGGTGAGGCTCGCCGGGTGACTCTGAAGCACTGAGAGCGTCTAGACTGCCTCGTGAGGGACTCCACCCTGCAGGAAGCGGCTCCTGGTTGTCCCGGCGGCATCCTCTGCTCAGGTCCACAGCCCGGACATGTGCTGTCCCTTTAGTTCGCAGCCCAGTGGGACAAGGAGCAGGAGGGTGGATTTAAGAACATGGTGTGAAGATATATACTACTGACGGTGCTGGGAAACCTCAGCTCCAAGAAGGAGGATGTAGTGAGGTGACAGAACACATCGATATGAGCGTTCCTATAGCACCAGCCACCCAAAGCTATTGAAGCAGCTTGAAGAATTAAAACATGGGCAAGACAGAAAGTTAAGTTAAACTTCACAAAGAACAGAAACCAACCAACGTCTCCAACCAGGAAGAGTTGGAGACAGAGTTAACGGACCCTAAATTTGGCCTGAGTTTCCTGTCGGCCGAATTGTGCTTGCTGTATACAACTGCCACTGAGTGACAAGAGCCGTGCACTATTGGAACAGTGGTTCCTAAATGCTGCTATAGATCACAGCCACTCAGGAAACAACTTTAAAATTAAATTGCTGGGCTCACTCCCCTAGAGATTTTGATGTGTAGGTCTGGATCAGGACTTGGGGTTGGGGTAGGAGATGAATGGACATATGGACAGACAGATGAAAGGAAATATGTTTTTTTTTCTCTCTCTTCCTTTTATTCTTTTGTTCTTTCTTTTTTCTTCTTCCTTCCTATCTTCCTTCCTTTTTCTTCAAGCAATACAGTATTACAGACAAAGACAAAATCCTCTCTGTTTCTCTCCCCAGGTTTATTACCTGTTCTCTCTTCCCAGAGACAATAGCTATTATGAGTTAGCCATCCATGTGTCTGCCCGGATGTTGTCTAACACTTGTACTACACACACACACACACACACACACACACACACACACACGCACGCACGCAACACACTTTTCTGTCTTGTGCAGTTTGTTAAATTTGGTGTAGTAGTTCGCATTGTGTTGGGCACACTGTTCTGCAACTTGCTTTTCTTCCTCCCTGCATTACATTTCCCGGATCCATCAGTGTCACCCTACTTCAGGGTTGGCAGACTTCCTCTGTAAAGGGCCAGGCAACAAACATGTTGGGCTTTGTGGGCCACATCAGGTCTCGGTCACATATTCTTCTTTGTCGTTTGTTAATTTGTTTGTGTCTGTCGTTCATCTTTTATCTCCCTTTAAAAATGTGAAAACCATTCTTAGCCTTGGAGCCGCACAAACACGGGTTCCAGACCAGTCAGTCCACTGGCTGCAGTTGGCCAACCCCTGTCCTGCTCAAGTATCCTGTCACTTGGACATGGTGCAATGGATTCCTCTGTCACAGACACCTTTGAATCATTTACAGCGTCCTGCAATGACCAACTCAGCTGCAGTAAGAGATCTCTGTTTTCCACCAGCTCCTCAAGCGAGCGCTAGACAGACAGCAAACCCGGCACTGCTCACAGACAGGCGCTTAGAAGCCGCTGCTCTAGAGACTGTACTTTCAGAGCTCTAGGAACAATTGGAACTCACATAACATGGGGTGGATAAACTAGAGGGCAGTACTTCCTATGTGATTGCAAAGAGGTTCTGTGTGTGTTTGCACGTGTACGTGCACATGTTGCGTGTGCACATGTGTATACAGAGAAGATTAATTGAGTGGCCACATCACACGTTCCCCTCTCTAAATTCAGTTGCAGGACATCAAAGCCTGTCTCTTGCCGACATCCCTTTGAAGAATAAGGCTCTTTGGGCCACTGCTCACACATCAGCTCCTGTTCCCCGGCACTGAGAGTGGACCCCACAGCCCCTGCACCACTGCTTGTTAAAATACAGATTCCCAGGCCGGGCGTGGTGGCTCACGTCTATAATCCTAGCACTCTGGGAGGCCAGGGGGGCAGATTGCTCGAGGTCAGGAGTTCGAAACCAGCCTGAGCGAGTCTCCATCTCTACTAAAAATAGAAAGAAATTAATTGGCCAACTAAAAATATATAGAAAAAATTAGCCGGGCATGGTGGCACATGCCTGTAGCCCCAGCTACTCGGGAGGCTGAGGCAGGAGGATCGCTTGAGCCCAGGAGTTGGAGGTTGCTGTGAGCTAGGCTGATGCCATGGCACTCACTCTAGCCTGGGCAACAAAGTGAGACTCTGTCTCAAAAAATAAATAAATAAATAAAAACAAATGAAACACAGATTCCCAGGCCCATCCAGCCTAGGATTGCAACATCCCAATGACGGTGGCTTCCTGCACAAGACCCAGTGTTTGTGTATTTTTATACAATATTTTTATAATAATATATACTTCTGTTAATATCTATCTATTAAATAGTAGTAAACTTTCATTTTTTTAGATTATTAGAAATATAAATAGGCATGGCAATATTTTCTTCTTCCTAATAAGGGATTTTCTTGTGCTCCTCACTTTGGAGAGCCCTGAGCTACAGATATCAAAGGTTCCGAATGTGGCCCATTTCTCATCTCTCTCAACTGAGCTCTGGGATCAAGTTAATCTAAAGCAGAACAGCCCGATAACCCCTAAAGACTTGCTTCACGGTTATTATCGTTGATAAAAGTTGCTGCACACTCTGTTTGAGATACCAACTGTGTTTATGTTCTCTCCTACTGCAGGTAGGAGTAGCTATAGGTAAACTCAAAATTATTCCCCAAATGGAGCTCTTGATTTCCCTGGCAACAGGAAAGGTACTTAGTGAACACTCCAGTGTTTTCCACCACAAAAACAGGTAGCTTTAGTCCAGAAAACAGTTAAGAAAAAGGGTTACCACTTACCTCCTTGACTTCAAAATGGCCTTCAGTCCGGCCCTATATAAAAGGCATAAGATTATTTAATATTGTTCATTTAAACATTAGAGATGCCTGCCAAATATAATGATTTAGTCTAAGATGTTCTTCGTAAACCAAAACGGGACGTACATAGTAAGACATTTGAGAAACTGGGGCGGAGCTGGCAGGAATAAACACACGTGGGTGCTGCACCAGCCGGACGCCATCTCATGAGAGCAGACGTCAAAGTGGCCAACCCACATGTGCCACTATTAACGAAATGTTGACAAGAGGCTGCACAGAAATTAGCCTAAAACCTTAAGCAAAGGCTGGGCAGGGGACGGGGGATTTCTAAAGGCACTGGAATTCGATTTTAAGTGCAAAGGTAGGATCACTTCCTAACTCAGCCACAGTCCTTGAAAGAATTTTGGGAGCCAGAAAGTAGAATCTGTTTTATGTTGCTTTAAAGCAGGGTCAGCGAACTAAGTGCACAGGCCATCTGGTCTACTACTGCCTGTTTTTATAAATAAAGTTTTATTGGAACACAGCCATGCCCATCAT